AAACAGGGAATCTGGAGGATGAACGCTAACGAACGGAGGACTTTTTTCCACTCGATAAAAGTTAACATGAGTGTTCACAGTTGTTAGGGACAAATGCAATCACATGACAGGATGCTGCAAACAGGATGCTTCAAACGGACCAAACGTCAGTCAGGAGAACCACCGAGATAATCCATCAATAGGAGGCTAGTCATTCATATACTGCTGCATGGGCTGGGCTGTAGTTGCATCATAAGGTTTTGAAAACTGCGCTTTAAAATGATTATCAGTAATAAAAACCGAGAGAGGCACAACAGCCTTATTAAATGCAGAGTAGTTTGGGCCCAGAAGCAGGGTTCATCACGCCATCACTTAAAGACTGGATGACCTCGACCTCAACGTCAAGGTCAGAGGTCAAGTTTTCTGAAAATCTTGTTAACGTGATAACTTGAGAAGGAAGTTACCTATGATTGGAGCAGTTTGAGGATATGGGTGTAGCCAGAAGGACAAGCTAAACATCAGCATGCATCTGAAACACCTCAGCACAGCCTGGGGGAAATCGCTGCCCCCTGGGGGTGAAAATTCAGCTTCAATTCTGCAGAGGGTATTTCCAAAAAGGAGCTTTAACGGGAGAGGAGGTAGAATGGCTTATTTCAGATAACAACGGGCTGCACTTAGTCCCAGTTTAAGATAAAGATAGAATGGTGTGGCTAATGCAAAGCAAGAATAAAAATACAGAAATGAGCGTAACAGGTCCATATGAAGTTGAATCTATTAAAACTGCCATTACTAAAGCTGGATTTATACACAATGACACAGTTTCCACTCATATTAAGACTTAAAATTTGTCAAGAAACTTTTTTAAAAAACCCGGTGCATTCTTCTAGCTTACGGTAACTTTGCCTTCTCTAACGTGTAAACACACATCTAGGGACTGCAGGAAGCGCGACTGCCTGCCTGCGTTTTCTCACCGTTTGGACAACAGCAAGGATGAATGGCCACTTTCTTAAACATCTAACAAGGCGATTACGCTGCTCACAACAACGGCTGCCAGCATGAATGAAAGAATGTGAATACAGTGACTCCACAGAGGTGGTGGTCACTAAGAGTCACCTATAGACGGCAGCTCCAGTGCTATTAATCTTCATCGCAAAGTCCAATCACAACAACACCCAGTCACTCAGTGCTGCACAGGTGATCATAATGTCATTATGGATACGATCATAATAAATCCAGGTTTAGGGAGCAACATAAACCCTGAGGCCTGGTCTCTCAGGCAGGGGTGCATAATTAGGTAAAAGGGGATGTCACACAGTGTGTTTGAGTGCAAACTGCCCAGTTTTTAAGCATTTTGTTAAACACATTTTTATGTGGAGAATCACTTCTGCAGCTTTTTAAAATTTCAAATGTAAGAAGAAACTCTTCCACATGCAGTTTTTGTGTAAAGCCGCCCGTGTGTCCAGTCGTCTGATCTCCAGTAAAGGCTTAGCTCTCCAGCTGTGACACTGTAATGCTGCCAGGACAGGGGCTCACAGCAGGGGCAGGACAAAACACAAGAGCGACCACTAGATGTCACTCTCACTACTCTGAACTGGGCCGCACCGCTACCTTGACTAGAGACAAAAACGGCAATGACAGAGCAATACGAAGACTATAAACATTTAACTGATTTAAAAGGACAAAAAAAGGAAAAAAATCACGTAAAATGCTGCGTTCATGAAATATGCAAAGACATAAAATAGTGTGAGGTGCAAATTTACAAAAAGAAACAAAACAAACTTCACTCCAAGGTGGTCATGACCACAGAATGACAGCTTGCTCGGGGCATCAAGGCTGATGACTCGCCTCCATAAGCAGCTGCTATTGGTGGCGACAAGATTAGCGATTAAGATGCGTGGAAACGGGCATGAAACCAGGTGGAAAAAAACGAAACAAAACAAAAACTCAGGTCAGGCAGGTCAAAAGACAAAAGGAGGAGAGTAAATACACCACTCCCCCTTCTCCTCCATCACTCCACGCACTCAGGGCGAGCTGTAATGGCTGCGTTTATGTACCTCGCTTTCTCTTTTTACCCAGAGGGGTGAAGATGAGAGGAAGGGAGGGATGGGGGAAAAAAAGGGTGGTGTATTAACCTGTCCTCGTGTCATGTTAAACTCCAAGCGTGGCGGGGAGAGGTGAGGAGAGGAGGACGAGGAGGTGGAGGCAAGGGAGGAGACAGAAAAGAGGGCAAAGGAGGGAGCGACGGAGAGTCAAAGGGTGAGTTAAAAGGAGGAGGACAGAGATAGAACGAGAAAGAGAGAGAAAGGTGAGCTCTGAAGCGACGCTCCGTCCTTCTTTTTCCTCACTCGTTCTTCCCTTCCTCTTTCTCTATCACCCGTCACTCTGACAGGGCCGGTAATTGGACGAGGACCTCTCCCTCTCTTTTTTCCCTCTGCTTCTGTCTGTCTCGCTCTCTCCCCCGTGGCTCTACTCCTCAGCGGGAGCCTTGGGGCCCGGAAATAGCTGATGACAAGATAGTGGCTGCCTTTCATTCCCGCTCAAGGTTACCCCACCCTTCCCTGACAGCCACAGAAGAGCTTGGGGGTGGTGGTGGTGGAAGGGGGGGCCACATTTAGGTGGGTGTTTGCTTAAACTCGTGTGTTTGTGTGCTTAAAGAACACCAACTCCACCCTCGTGTCCCGTTTCTTTTCAGACGTCCAGTCAACCTTCCGCCTGCCGTCCTGGGTGTACGTGGAGAATGAAATGCAGACACACACACACATGCTGGGCTGACAGCCTTGAGTTTAGAGGTTAAACTGGGTTGTGAAACATAGACTCATTGGACCCTAAAATAAAAGAGATGCTTAAACAAACACACCATCACACACACTCTCTCGCTCACTCAGTCCGACAGCAGGAACTGCTCCTGCTCTGGGGGTTTTTTGACCCAGGTGCCGAGGCCCATTTCCTGCAGAGACCTGAACCACTGCTGCTTCGCTGTCTGGTAAGGGCGCGCCGCCATCTTGGCCTCGCCGTACATGAGCTGGCGGTCCGCCGAGCTGGACGCGTGGATCCCCAACTGAAGAGGGCGAGGATGACCGGGAGAGAAAGTGATGGGTGGAGAGGGGAAACAAACACGAGAAGAGAGAAAATGAGAGTCAGATAAGAGCGGAGTCAGACGTGAAGACGGGGATGGAGAACAGAAAGAGAGAGAGAAATAAAGCCGGGGCAGAGGGGCGAAAGGTTTAGCGAGCAAAACAAAGCGAATGAGCCGGCACAAATGCATTTGGGTGGGGGCTGGGAGCAGGCGCAGGGTGGAGGGGGGCTTCAACAGCTGTGTAATCTCCCCATTTAAATTTCACAAGCAATTGAACATTCTCTGTGCTTTTTGTGCATTCCTATTGTCACGAGGAAGGGGGGAGGTGGGGGGGCAATGAAGATCGGCAGGGAGACAAGTGGGGAGAGAGAGAGGGAGAGAGCAAAAGTTTGTTTTGGAGATTAGTGCGACTGCTCTTGCGTGGCCCCTTATATGCGGCGCGCAGGGAGCACTTAGGGTGGGGGCCTCCTCGAGTACTTCTCCAAATAATTATGGTTTCATAGTCATTATGCTTTAACGGCCGCCATTTGGCGATGCAGGCAGTGTCTGTTACGTAAAGTTTCAGAATGGAAATGAGAGTGCGGCGGGTAAAGATCCGAGCTGTCAGCTTTTTGATAAGCCGCACAGACAGCAGATGTTGCCAGGCAGACAAATGTATCTACGGCAGAGAGGAGATTCCACATTTCCACTGCACACAGCTCTCTGCTTCTACGCGTGTCTGTGCCTTTTGACTGCTGGCATGCATCACTGTAGTTAATGCTTGTGTGTAGCGGCTGTGCGCACGGGATTCCTAATAGCAGTGGATTCCATATTGTTTCCAGCAATAACTGAGCGATGCCTTTGGCTTTGCTGCACGAGAGCACTTGCAGGGCACAGAGCGCTGAAACTTGTAAGATGTGATTATTGTTCAGCCTTATATTAATTAAATAGGACATCGTAATATTTTTCTGGGAACTAAAAGATACAATGTGGGCAGTGTTTTGTTTATTTTTAATTCACTTTTCATTTGGTGGAACTTTATCCACAGCAGACATTTCTGCACATCATAGCAAACAAAAGAACGGTGTAATTATTAGTGTGACGGGCGCCGCGTTCCGTTTAGGCGTTTTCTCTAAAACATCGAGTCTAAATGTTTGCTGTGAGAAAGTCCTGCAGAAGGAGTCAGTGATTCTGATGAATCGAATAAAACTGGAGTTAACTAAGCTCATCTGGAGGTCACTGCAGTTCCTCAAATGCCCACTTGAGGCCCGAGCTGAGAGTGAACGCTCAACTTTACAAAGGGAAATAATCAGGTTTCAAACTGAAACAAGAAAAAATATTTTTGTGTTTATTGCTAATTTATGTCTTCATAGCAACCCTGAGGTAGCTTATATATATCTCACTGTATTAACTGTATCAAGGCTCAAAGAAATGCATTATTGCACTGCAGGAGCTGTCTGCTAGGCAGATGATCTGACACTGATCTGGACTGATGTGGTGTTTGTCAAGTAGTTAACGAGCCCGTCATAACTTAAAGACCTTCTAGTACCTTATTATGCTAGTAGAGCACTTCACTCTCTGACTGCAGTCTTACTTGTGGTTCCTCTGGTATTTAAACGTAGAATGGGAGGCAGAGCCTTCGTCTTTCAGGCTCCTCCTTTGTGAAACCAGCTCCCAGTTTGGATTCAGGAGACAGACAGCCTCTCTACTTTTAAGATCAGGCTTGAAACTTTCCTTTTAGATAAAGCTTATAGTTAGGGCTGGCTCAGGTGACCCTGAATCCCCCTTAGTTATGCTGCGATGGGCCCAGGCTCATGCAAGTATTTCTTCTTTGCATTCGGTTACAGCAGATGGCCCCGCCCCTCCCTGATCCTGGTCCCTCTGTGGAGGTTTCTTCCTGTTAAAAGGGAGTTTTTCCTTCCTACGATTGCTAAGTGCTTGGTCATAGGGGGTTTGTCTGATTGTTGTTGTTTTTTTAATATTATATTGTATTTTGTAGGGCATTTACTATATAAAGGGCCTCGAGGTGACTGTTGTTGTGAATTGGTGTCATAAGGTCTCAGCCACTTGACCTTCGCCACAGGTGCCTTCCCTCACCTTGCGGTACAGTCTGTTCCAGCGGGTGAACAGGGCGTGCTTGCAGAGACGTGAGGGTGTCCCTGAGTCTCGTCTCCGTCCAGTTGCGGTGTTGACCACCTCCAACTGTGCGTCACCCAACGTCCAGTTGACGCTCACACACGACGCCTTCCCCGGCTGCTGATAATCGGCACTGCTCAAGCCTATGTGGAAGACAAGAAAATACAAATGACATCATGACATGTCACATGGTTTTGTGAGTGAAATTTTGCATCTGTATGTTTTCTGAACCTCTGCTTTGTTATTTGGTTTAACCTTCTGCCACCCTCGCCTCACTCTTGCCCTGAGGCTGGAAGACATACAGGTTTGCAGGGATGCACAAAAACGATACGATGGCTATGTAAGTATTATAGTTTTGATATACCTTTAGAGAGCAGGTTGGAAAAGGAATGAAGCACATAAGCAATGTCTTTTTATGCTGTAAATATAATCTCCACACTCTGAGATCGACTGCTGCCTACACTGGACTGTCACTCTGTTCTCCACTCTCTACATTTCTTTTTGAAATAATTAGCCTCGCAGCAAAGCACACAAAGTGATCAGCAGAGGAAAGTGAAAGAGAGACAGCGGTAGATGGAAAGTGGAGGTGAGCGGCGATCACACGGCCTCTGTGGAGAGAATTAGTTGCCTGCACTGAGAACACAGGCGCTGGCAGAGGTGCTGGGCCTGTGGCGGGAACAGAGCTGACAGCAGGGTGAGGAGCAAATGAGGGCTCAAGGCAAAATGTTCCTGAGAGGCCAGCGTGGGCGTTTCATAGAAGCTGCATAGGAGTTTGGATTCGCACCCGATTGTACAGCCTGAAGCAGGAGAAAATGTTGAATCTAAGCGGCACTTTCTGGGGCAGAAAATGTAACAAATATGGAGTGCCAAACTCTGCGTTTCTTCAAAAGGCCACTTGAGGCTGGATACAAAAAGCAAGTCAATCCCCAGAGACTTCCAAGTTAAAATGCCAATTTTTACTGCAGAAATAACTATATTTAAATCCTGGTACAAGAAAAATTTTGATCTCTATTGCTAATATGCCTTTCACACAGTTCCGGTGTGGATTGCTTTATAACTTAACCATTAAATTATCTCATGTATTAAAGATTTGCAGAGGGTGTCAAATTCTCACCACTAGATGTCAGTAGATTGCAGATTGCGGTTAACTGAGTTCTGTTTTTGTACCCCTCCCAATTCAAGTACATAATCCTAGCTGCTATGTTTCAGTCAACCAAAAGAGATCAAAACTATATTTAGATTATTCCACATAATAGTTGTGGCCAGTCGGCATATTTCTACCAGCCTACCGATCAAATCCAGTTCTAAGGAACACTTCCAGCCCGCTGTTTACCTCAGCTGTCAATGCAGAGTGAGAAGTGTCCACCTTTATTTACTCTGGAAGAGGCTGTAAAACTTTCTGAAAGGATCCGATACAGATCAATAAGCCGGAGAAGCTCTCTTTTGATCGATGACAGTCATACTGAAGTGAGTTGTTAGGTAGCAGTGTTGTTTTTGCTGCCGTTGGCTGCAGTTCGTTCATGAAACTTTCTCAGAAGTAGATGTAACAGTTTGACTGAGGCATTTAGCAAATAAATCCTCCTACAATGTGACAATATAAACAAAATGTTTATCAGAAGGAAAGAAAAGGAAATGATACTCGGGTCTAATGTGAGCTGGCATAATGTTAGCTTATAACCAGCTGTTGTTGTAGCCTGCTCTTCCCATTTAACTCTTCCCAAGAGTTGGGAGTTCGCCTTGTAATCGGAAGGTTGCTGGTTCGAGCCCCAGCTTGGACAGTCTCGGTCGTTGTGTCCTTGGGCAAGACACTTCACCTGTTGCCTACTGGTGGAGGTCAGAGGGCCCGGTGGCCCCAGTGTCCAGCAGCTTCGCCTCTGTCAGTGCGCCCCAGGGTGGCTGTGGCTACAATGTAGCTGCCATCACCTGTGTGTGAATGTGTGACTGAATGGGTGGATGACTGGATGTGTAAAGCACTTTGGGGTCCTTAGGGACTAGTAAAGCGCTATACAAATACAGGCCATTTACCATTTTAATTAGCACTTATCCATGTCTGACCGACGCACCCACACAGTTCACAGATGTGAACCAAACTAATTTGTAGTAGCTGATAAATTTGTACTCCAAACACGGTCCATTCTGCCTCTAAAAACCGACATGACAAAGGCCAACATGCCAAATGCGAGACCTCACATTGTTGGTCCACAAACAAATGGGTGCCTCAGCCATCTGTCATACACAGTCTGTGGTTAAATCACATAGGACAAATGCCTCCTAGAACTAAATTTTGATTGTATATTTGTATGTACACTAATTGAGATCATGTGTTATCCATTGATAACTGCTGTATTTTATGTAAAGCTACCTTTAAAGAACTGGAAGGCTTTTCTGGACTACTACAGAAGCATACTGGGCCCACTCCCTATGTAGATAGAAGAGATGTACTTAGAGGCGATTATATGCTAATGAAAAATAAAATCAACACTGTATTACTTTTCTAGGAATAGAGCCCTGTAAATTCTGCACGCTGGAGCATTAATAATCACAGCTATAAGAATCGCTGTCTTTGATTCCAGCTTGAGTTATTTATTACATCATGCAACATTAAAGGCTCCCCTTATAGAAAATCAACGGGCAGAGTCTCTGTGACGGCTGAATAACAGTTGCTTCTGATCTCATCGCCTGACAGACAGCTTGTTATATTACAATACCAGATCTACAATACCACAATACATGCCTGCAGATCATTTCCTCCTTTTCCACACTGATTTTCCTGTCTTCACTCTTCCATTTACCAATCTCACCTCTCCTTTTCTGTTGCTCCTTGGAGCTGGAATGAATCGCCTGCCACGGTAACAATCCTCCGTGTCTCTTATGTATTACCCATCTCTTCTCTCTTGTGCAGACGCACCTCTTTGAACAAAAGACCCTCCTATCCATCCTGCTTTTTTCCACTCCTCTCGCTCCATTCATGGCTCATTTCTTCCCTTCAATGGGCTTGACTCCTCTGTTTCTGTAATAGCCAATTTGATGTTTCCTCCATTGAGGACTTGATCAATTTCTCTTCTGGGAAGTGTTTGGCAGACATGAAAAAGGCAGAATTAAAGCCTTTGGTTATGGGATTCAGAACTGTACAGTACACACAGGAGCAGCTTAATATCTGAGGCTGCTGTGCGTTCATGTGTACACAGTGCATCTATCCTGCATTATTGTAGTACTGCAGGGCTGTAAATGTGTGCCTTGTTGGGTGGAGAAGAAGTGGAGGAGAAGTGAAGCAACAGGTATGTGAAAAGAGGAACTTACTCATTTTCTGTGTCAACGACTGGATTATAAATGAACAGTTGCTGGCTCAAATCCTTTAAAACACTTTCTATAAACATAATTTAAAGACCAGATTTTAAAGAAAGGTAAGCCAAGAAAAGGGAAAATGCAGATTTTAAATTGATTTCATTCATTAAGGGAAAAAAAGCTATCAAACTCTATTTGCCCCTATGTGAAAAAGTAACAGTCCCCCTTGTTAACTTATGAATTCACTGTGATTAACCACATTTTTTGGAAAGCTGAGTTCAGTTTACTAGCCACACCCAGGCCTGAGCACTCGTTGACCTGTTGGATCAGGAAATCCTTTAAAAAGAAAGTCTTTGTAGCGAAGTAGACTCAAATATCTCAAAAGTCAACACAACATGCCAAAATCTAAAGCAACTCAAGAACAGCAGAGTCAGTCTGGAAAGGGTTACAAAGGCATTTTAGGACTTTGGAACTCCAGCAAATCAAGGCTGGAGGAAAACTGGGGAAAACTACGAACATAAATCCAATTGAGATACTCATGCATGACCTTAAACAGGGATTCATGCTTGAAACCCCTCGAGTGTGGTTAAAGACCTGCAAAAAGACCAACCATGACCCACAATTTACGCCACCTTCATTGGCGTCTTAGTGTGGTAAAGTTAGCAAAAAATCAGCCCCAAAGCATTATGTTTCCACCTCCCTGCTTGACTGTGGGGACGGTGCTCTTTGGGTCACACACAGCATTTCCCTTCCTCTAAAAATGAGACATCAAGTTGACGTCAAAGAGCTTGATTTTGTTTTATTTGATCCCTGCAATTTCTCCTAAGCCTTCTCATTTAGATGTTTACTGGCAAACTTAAGACAGGCATGTACATTTGCCTACTTAAGCAGGGGGACCTTGTAGGCACTGCAAAATTTCAATCCATTATGGTGCAGTAGGTTACCAATGTGGTTCGTGGTGATTGGGGTCTCAGCTGAGGATCTGTCACCTTTCTTATGATCATCCCATGAACCATCATCTTTCAATTTCTTCCATTGCCGAATGAACACACCAGGAGTTGTCACCTTGTTACCAAACTTCTTGCTGATGGTCTTGTAGCTCAGTCCAGCCTGTGCAGATCTGCAGTCACTGATGTCTTTCGACAGCTCTTTGGTCTTGTCCATGGTGGTGGAGAAGATGGAATGGAAGAAATTGATACTGTAGACAGCTGAGCTTTATGCAAATAATGAGCTGAGATCAGGAGCATCTGTAATTGATTGATTGATTGATTGACTGTGTGCCACATGGACTTTTAGCCAATCTGTGGAAGCCAGAATAGTAGCTGGGTTGTCAGAAATCAAATACTTATTTGACTCAATGACATGCAGATTAATTTATAATTTTTATGTAATGTTTCTTTTAAAAAAAACAAAAAACAGATTTAGGTTGATATTCTGTCTCTTAATTTCTTTCCCCAAAAAATAATAATAAAAAATAGTAACTGATCATTTTATTGTAAGTGAGCAAACTTATAAATTCAGCAGAGGATCAAATGTTTAACAGCACCACTGATGGACTGCCGATGATTACTTGATGTTAATATGTAATGAGTAACTGATTACATTTTTCAAGTAACTTTCCTCACAGTGACATCATCTTAATGCAAATATGTATCAGACCTCAGAACAACAAAAGCTAAAATACGAATTTCAACACGTGGAGAAAAGAGGGTGTAGCTGTAAAACATGCATGTGCACCGATCTATCTGCAAAGCTCCAAAAGTGGAGCACGAACATTATTAATGTTTCCTTTATCTGCTGTTGTTCCGATTCCTCTTATCCCGAAACAACAAAGCCCCGCCACAGTTTGCGTTCGCTCAACAGCAGGACGAGGAGTGAAGGACAAGTCGGTCCATCGATGCGTTTGGCCCTCAGGGTTCAGGTGGAGCCGCTTTGGCTGTGTGTGATAAGAACGGGCCCTGCGATCCCCAGGAATTTCTTCTGGGGGTGTCGCTTTTAAATAACCCTGGACTCACAATAGCCTGGGAGCTCATCAGAGGCAATGAAAGGCTGGCGGAGGAGATGAGAGGAATGGGAGGGGGCGATACACGTGCAGTCATCTAAATGCGAGCGAAGCTCTGCGTTTCTTTATTCCCGCCCTGCCTTGCTGTCTCCCCTTGTTTTCCTCAGCCTGTCCCTCTCTCGGTACGAGCTCCCTCTCAGATTGAATGGCTGTCCGATAAGGGCTGTGATTACATTGATTTGGCGTAGGGCCATCTCCACTCTCTGTCCATCTCTCTCCCTGCCTTCACCCTTCAATAAACTACTCATAGTACTGCAGGTGCAAAGATCTGACAGTCTGAGACACACACACACACACAGAAAACACACAATCACTGTTAGAGAGGACGACAGAGCATGTGCAGGACACCTCAAGAAATGGCGTAAAGGACATTCGACAGCATTAGTATTTAACTGGTGGGAAAAAGAACCTATAACAGTCATTAAACACTCTTTGCAGCAATGATAAAAAACGGGATAAGGAAGAACGATGAACAAAAAGATCAAACCTGACCACAATTTTCCAAATATTAACCGCAGCTTGTAATATCTAAAAGCAAAGACTCAAATGACTCCATTTAAAAAGCCAAATCATGAGAAATGCTCGCTGAGGCTGCGGTCTGAGGGTTCAGTGATAAAATCATCCCAGCAACCATCACCAGAGGACATTTCAGCACAATTATCAATCTCGATAAGGACGGGCTTCAGAAAATCTTCGCCACCAAGGCAACCAGAGAGCCCCTGCGCCCTTCAAGAAGAGCATGCAAAGCCATGTATAGTAGATATGGAGATGTTAGCCACAGAGAGCTGTTGATATGATATAATGTGTTTCCCTGTAAGTGACTGTGACTCTCTTTGTTTATATCAGTGATCCCTAACAACCAAATGTGTCCTACATCTCTGTGCGTGCCTGTCGCTCAGCGGCTCTGCCTGCCCTAGATCTGAAGTGATGGCTGATGCAGTTTCTACCAGTTGGGTGTCATTCACATCCTCTTCCAGCATTCATCCTCACTACAAACACAAGCCTCGAGTCTCAGCGGAGCCCTGGAAGCAGACGCGCCAAACAACTTCTTAGTTTTTGCTTGTCTGACTGGCAAAATGTAAGTGTAGAGAAGAAGTGGTGTACGAGTTTGCTAAGAGTGCGAGAATGTGTGTTTGTGTGTGCGTGAGAAGGGGGTGTAACATATGATCTGTTATGTTGCATCGCGCCTGTAGCTGACAATCCTTAAAAAGAATACGTGAAAACAGAGTACTGTACACGAGGACATTTATGTAGTGCAGATCTCTAAGCATGTGTGGGTAAGTCGCTATATGAAGGCAGGGTGAGAATAGAAAGCAGACTGTAAGCTGAAAAGAGGAAATACAGAAAAGGCTGAAAGTGATCCAAGCACAGAATACATGTTTAGTGGGTTTTAACAGTTTTGCTGAGTAGGCTACAGGCTGGTGCTTGTGTTTAAGGATATTTTAGGGGTATTCCCAAGAAACAACCTGTTGTTTCCGAAAGTGAGTTAATCCACATTGAAGATCACGTTACAGGAGACTCAAACATGTACTTTTAGTATCCAAAGTAATATCAGAAGAACTTGGGAGCTATGAATGTACTTTGCTAATCAAGCTAGCTAGCTTCTGCTCTTACACTTGAAAGAGGAACCTACATGTTTATCCTACCTTAGACTTTAAAGTTATCAATAAAGTTAATGGACTATTATTTTGAAGCCTTGGTTTTGTCATTTTGGCCCACAAAACACTGGATTTTGAAACACGATCTGACTGTATATGGAAGACAGGGTGTAGGTGGAGAGGACTACAGGGATAACCCAAGAACACTAGGCCAAATATAGCCCCCCTAACAGGACAGTCAGTTTACCCAATTTAAATCCCACTCTTCAAGTCTCTATCCTGTTTCTGCTGGCGTGCCCCAGGGTTCAGTATTAGGGCCTCTTTTATTCATTATCTACATGCTCGCTCTTTGCCAAATATTTTGAAAATATAATATCAATTTTCATTGTTATGCTGATGACACCCAGCTCTACATTTCCTCCAAACCTAATTCATCCCTTCCACCTTCTCCCTCTTGAACTGTCTTATGGAGATCAGATCTTGGTTCTCCTCCAATTTTCTCAAACGTAACGGTAATAAAACAGAAGTGTTACTCGTTGGCACAGCCTCTACCTGTACCAAATCTCACAGTTTCTCCATTAATATTGAAAATCCCCCATCCTTCCTTCCCCGCAGGTAAAGAGTTTGGGTGTCATACTTGACAGTACTCTCTCATTTCAGTCTCACATTAATTACATAGCCCGGTCTGCATACTTTCACTTACGTAACATTAACCGACTTCGTCCCTTCCTTATTCCCTATTCCCCATCCTTGTCCATAGTCTTATTACTTCCCGGATCGATTATTGCAACTCCCTCCTATTTGGTCTCCCCAGTAAGTCCCTCCATAAACGTCAACTTCTTCAGAATTCTGCAGCTCGGGTCATAACTCGTAACTCCCCTAAGAGACTATATAACTCCAATTCTTCAACAGCTTCACTGGTTGCCCATAGAAGCCAGGATAAACTTTAAAATATTAGTTCTCACGTTTAAGTGTATTCATAACCTTGCCCCTCCTTATCTCTGTGATCTGCTTCATATCACTACAGTTTCCCGCTCTCTCAGATCTTCATCTGCCACTCATCTTGTTGTTCCTTCTGCTCGTCTTATCACTATGGGTCACAGAGGAACTCACTTCCTTCAGCCTTAAGAAATATAGATTCCCTTATTTAAGTCACAACTCAAAGCCAACTTGTTTAAACTGGCTTACTCTCTTTAATACAGATTTTACTTGCTGGCAAATAGTAGTTTTTTTTGTGTGTGTTTTTAATTTTGTTGTTTGTGGCTGTATTTTGCTGGTTTCTGGATTTTAATTTATTTGAATCTATTTTAATCAAGTGTTTTATTGATGTCTTTTTCTCTTTGTAAGGTGACCTTGGGTTTAGAAAGGTGCCCTCAAATAAAATGTTTTATTATTATTATCATTATTATAATGCTAACACTGAAATTTTAAAATGCAAAGTCCAAATCCAGTGGGCTACATTGGATTAGATCCCCCACATCAGGTATTTTTTTCCATGTAGTTTTCAATTATAATGAACATCACAATCTTGACATTTGGGACCTGTTTAAAGCAATGCCACCCAAAGAAGCTCCAAACTTAAAGCAGACAAAAAACAAACAAACCCTCAGACCTTTATGTGCTACATCAGAAGCAAAAAGTAAAAGTATATTGAAAAGACTTTTTTACTGTGTCACTTTCTATTGTGTGGAGACTTTCCAAAGTGCATAGAGTGTATTTATGAGTGTATTTTACAGCTACTGCCCAGAGTTGCTGTGTGGCTGATTATGTTGTGGTCATACCGCTGAGCAGGGGCTGGTTGCGTCTGTATGTGGCAGGCAGTGGGCCCAGGCGCTCCTGACGCTGGTTCAGAACTCTGCCCAGATGGCCCGTGTGACGCAGGCTGCCAACGGTCATGCTATGCAGGTACACTGGTTCCACAAAATGGCTCAGCAATGCCCCCTGCAGGCCAAGGATGTTCCATCTAGGGGTAGGGAGGAGGTGGGAGGAAGAAAAGAGAGAAGAAGTTAAGGAGGGAAGAGAGGAGAAAGGATGGAAGGAACAGCATTCGTGAAAACGTCGGCGAAGGTGTGAGTGTAGGATGAGGTGTGTGGGTGAAAGGAGAAACGAAACACAACAGTTGGCCAAAGATACGAAATAGAAGGAGGAGATGGAGGGGTGGAGCGGTGGATAGAGAGAGGCAAGGTGGGGAAAACGAGACAACGAGGCAGGTGTGAGAGCTTTGATGACAGGTGGAGACAATTTGATCATTATCTCGATGTGGGACGTGATGAATAGCAGCAAGTGACCACACACGCTCTTCACACATAAACGTCCTCTTCCCCCAGAAACACAAACCGTCATCACCAACAACAACACCGCCAAAGGTCAGTACATCAGCATTCATTACCTGGAACAACACATTACCACGTGTGCATTCATCAGTGCCACGGAGGTTAAAACACTGCAGGGCTGCAGGAGAGCCTCAGTCGACTGCTCGCTGCACGCGGATCTCCTTGTGGTTTGTTTAGCGAGCCACAAGTGACACAAAATCACTGTGGGGCTAATCCCGCAGGCCACGTGGGCACCTCAAAGTGTAGCCAGCAGCAGATGCTAATTTATACATATAGAATGATAATTAGCGTGTTTATTATAATCCCTGCCCTTCATAAATGAGGAGGAATCCTGCTGTTTACCTGAGCTGTACTGGAGTTACATCGGAGGCTTCTAATTTTTACATCACTGTTCTTTTTGTTAATCAATGTCTCCTTATCATGGATGCAATTACACCCCGCATCCCCCCACCACCCCTTCCCAGCTTAATAATCACTCATTACAGCTTCCTTTGCTTCCCCAAGCAGTCAATTAACATCACCGGCTTTCTGGGAATCACTTAAATGGGCTCACAAAGCAGCAGCCCGCCCGCCTCTGCTTTACCTGCAATCTGTCACCAAGATCTGTCCTTCCTTCCCAAACAGAGAGGAGGAATTTTGTTCAAAAAGCAACGCGCGCACGCCCAAACAGAAAATACTTTAGCCTGAAATATTAATTTACCCAGAAAGCGACACCGTGAATCAGAAACATCTTCTAATCTCATGCAAGAAGAGACAGCCATCTGGCTTGGGCGTGTGAATCTAGAGAGAGGAGAGGGGAGAGGACCTCCTCTTTCTCTCTCTCTCCCACCCTCAGTAAACGCCGACCATTAAAGTAATGTGTTCATCTGCATAAAACTGCGGTGGAATGGAGAACATCATCGTTATATGAAAGCCATTTAGGCCCCTCAATTAAATCCAGCTGTCGGCTTCGAATCAAATATTAGTGAAGAATCTTCACCGAGGCCCCGGCCTTAAGAAAACACGACGACAATCGGCGGGCGATGCAACGGCCACTGTTATCAGCTGTGTTTATGATAAGAGCAAAGATCCTAATATCCCCTCTGGTCAAAAGCTGAACTAACGATAATAAAGTGCAGGAAGTGGGAGGAAGTGGAGGGGAATAAAAAAGTAATGGGAGGTTGCAAAATGAGCGTGACAGAGGACAAAAAGAGTATCCAGGGGATTGCTTTAAGATTGCAGTGTGTGCTGGTGTGTGTGTGTGTGTTCACTCTGTAGCTCTAAGCTCCTCTCACTTCCACCTTCCACTCCTGACCTTGATAAACTGGCCCTCTGTGACCCACTCAGTTTAACGATGGCCACCGATCATTTACAGCGATATAAAAAAAGAGGAAAGAGGAAGCTGTGGAGCAGTGAGAGCGCGTCTGCTGTCTGGCCGGGCGGGATGTGGTGAAGAAGGTGGTGAGCGGGTGGGCGGTGGGGGAGGAAAGCAGGGTTGTCCCTTCTCCCTCCCCCGTCACTCTATTTTTTTGTAAAGTAATTGCTTTCACCCCTGTTGGTGACCTGGGTAGATTTAATCACACCATCTCCACCCCTGGCCAACTGAATCAAATTGGTCAAATTAACAGCGGCTACACAGGAGAAGGGTTCACCTCTCCGCTCGTGCGCTCTCTCTTTCTCTCTGTGTCTGTGACACGCGCGCGCGCAGCAGCGGCTCAGCTGTAGTCCTGTACGGCTCGGCTGGCACAGCGTGGTGCTTACTAAGCTAAATTCACGGGTTCGGCTCCTGTTGAGGCAGAATCGTGGCAGAACAACTGAGACTATATTAAAAATTGATTTCAGATATTTCAGAGAACATCAGGTGTAGAAGAGAAGAATTACAATTGTTGAATTTCTTTACTCGGTACAGCGGTGAATGTTTTTAGCCGTGCTAGCAAATCTGGAGTATTTCAGTAGGAAGGAATGGCTTTACTGGAGACAATCAACTGTTTGTGACATGCCGTTATAAGGGCTAAATTGCTTAAAAAGTAAAGAAATTTGTGTTTGAGCGATTATTACTTTGTTGTAACGATGCTTCTTGGCAATAAATCTTATCATGTGTGAAAGTTTATTTTTCCTTAAATGGTGCCACATTTGTAAGGGAAATGCATTTGTTGGTTGCTCCCATGAAAAACTTGCCAAATTTCTCTGCCAATGCCAAACAGCTTATTCGGCTACCAAAAGCCTCTTCGTGGCCTAGGTTCAGTAAGATGCTGGAAACATTCCTCAGAGATTTTGGTTCATGTTGACATGACAGCATCACACAGGTGCTTGCAGATTCTTCAGCTGCACATGCATTTAGCAAATCTCCTGCTCCCCCACATCCAAAAGGCGCTCTGCTGGACTGAGATCTGGTGACTGTGATCTCAATGAACTGCCTGTCATGTTCAAGAACATTTGAGCTTTGTGACACAGCATTTTATCCTGCTGCAAGCACAAAGGAAATTTCTGGCACAACTTCACCTGCTTCCAAGGTGCACTAGGGAAGAGCAATAATCTAAAGAGGCCGAAGCTCCACCACTAGTGGTATGAAGAATGACTTTATTACCCGATCAACGTGTTTTAGCCTGTGGCCTCTGCCAGGCCATCAAGGTGGTGTATAAAGGAGGCAAATATCCCCACACTACTGCACCACCATCAGCACAGGATGGCTCCATGCTTTCATGATGTTTATGCAAAATTCTGACCCCACCCATCTGAATGTTGCAGCAGAAACTGAGCACAGCCATAATAATAACAGATTTATTTACTATTAGAATCATTATAATCACTTATCACCTCTAATACCACCTCACCACTTTAAATTTGCAATGTATTTGGAAATATATTTAACATTATTAAGTTTTTTGAATATGTGTAGCAGCCTCCAGTGTGACCACACTTAAGCCTCCACTCTTCACACAAGGACAGCGTGAAGCTGGAGGCAGAAGAGTAAAGCTGTCCTGATGTATCGTGGCCATCTGTCCTAAACTGGCCTGACAACATGTGGACATGGGTTCTATAGTAGTTTTGCTCTCTCATCATATATTACTGAGTCACTGAGTCTGTTTTAATCTAACACTGTTGTGCCAGGAATAAGAGAAATCAGTGAATTAGAAATAAGTGATTAAAACCACAGTTTTCAACTGTAAACTGCTGCCCTCTAGTGGGCTGTGACGGCACTACAGCTCAGAGGTGGGCGGTACCGATATTAGTATCGATACTGATATTGATATCAGATCGATACTAGTGCGAAAGCATCAATATTTTGTTTCTATCCTTTAAGTTAGGTACATAGCCCAATAAATTGTATTAAATATTTTTTTAGAAAAGAAAAAATATACATCAAACACGTTTAATGAAACGTGTCAGTGTTGACTGACGATTGATGTCTATTTTATTTATAGGCTATAGCATGATAAACAACAAAATCTGACCAAAAGCTTATTTACATCCTAGGTCTCAAATACACATAAAAAGCCTAAAAGTGTGTTTTATTGTTTTAACTTATTATTACGGAAAGTAAAAATCATCACAGCCATTTTGTGCTCAAATTGAAAATTACACATCTCATAAATCATAACTTGGTCTTGGAATTGGGCATTTTAAAGTATCGGTACTGGTATCGGTATCGGCAATAGTAGCCCTGTATTTACTTGGCATCAGATCAATGCTAAAATTTGCAGTCCAGAACCAACACTTCAGGTGGGCTAGGTGAGTAATCTAATATTTACAATGAAGACCATTTTAATTGTGCATTAATTTTCATTTATTTGACCAGTTTTTGACATGAGGTCTATTTTCTATTTCACTTAATTGTTTGGAAATTGTAACTGACAGAAGAATCCATCAGTTTTAGAGAAATGGTACTGAAAAGGTGGCAAAAGAAAAGTCTTTCATGGCTAATTATCATCAACAAGCAGCTCACAGCAACAGCAAAATTAATCTATGAAAACGAAGAGAAGTAGCAACAAAAAGCGAGCACCTATTGTTGGTTTTTACAAGTGTGAGAACAGAAGACGGGTAATTACGGGTTTGGGCAGACCACAGAGGTTTCTCTGTCCCTAAAGTGGGCTGCAGAAGCCTTGAGTTTGGAATATTAGTCATAGCAGCCTTTACCAACTATACACCACAGTGTGTAAAGGATTGTATGACTAATACGTTAGCTAAATAACAGGCAGCACTGCAGATCTAAACAAAGCCGCGATTAATACACTAATTCATTAGTATGGGATTAGCTATTCAAGTCACATATGGGAAATCAATAGTCCCCCCCCCCCGGACTACAAAAGATTTCTCACTGTGCACAGCTCATGTTAACACACCATCCCACACACACACACACACTGATGCATTAGGTAAATATCAGAGAACCCTCTCCTTACATCACATCTAAAAGTGCTTTATTTAAACAGAGATCTTTCCTTCTCATAAGGAAGCTAATCTCCTAATAAGGTTAACCTTTCCACCAATCACTTTAGCTTTCATTTCTTAAGTAGACCAGACATCTCGCGGGTGAAGGGGGTGAGCTGTTTTTTTTATCTTTTCTTTTCTCTTTTAAACGAGCACAATCCATGCAGTAATAACTGCAGTGCTCACTCATATAATTCGATTATGATTTCAATAAATGAGGCATAAAAACAAATTATGAGTCAAAGCTGCGAACCGAACAAAAGTAGCAATTTTTGAAAAGTGTATCTATCACCGAAAGTCAAAACTAAAACCTGTGAGACAAACCTACTTAATCTCAACAAGAGTGGGCGAGGGCAGCGAGGGAAAGCTCTGCCAAGGAAGCTCACTCTCTGGCCAGAATGGACTTTTAAGGCAACAGTATTGTATTTTGTATATATTAATTGTTTTCTTTGTTCTTTCGAAACATACTTGAAGAAGTTTGTAATGCAGGTAAAAATCAGATAAGAACAGCATGGCAGCTGTTTACAGTGATTACACAAACATTATGTATGTATAATAACTGGAAATGAATTCCTTGAGCTCATTAAATTATATAATACTACAGAATATTTCTAACTAATTAATTATTCTCTTTTTCTTGAGAGTACTTGGAGCCAAGTCGAAAGAAAAAAATGAGGTCAGAGGTCAAATGTGACCCACTTGTAAGAATCATAGTTTCTAAGTCATAAGGCTTTTTGTTGACAAATAAATCATTAAGTTGATCTTGAAGACTTTGGCGGATATAAACCAGATTTGATTGGCTTGTTAACATGACACCACTTGACATGCCTACAAGGTTTTACAGGAATTGATTCAAAACTTTTCAATCTATCGTGTTTACAGACAGAATGATGGCGCGCATGCAAACACAACCAAAACCACAACCTCCTTGGTGGATGTAAAAAAAAGAATGGATGCAGGATATGTGTGTGTTATTCTGGACACACACAAGAAAATGCGACTTTAAGCGCAGGAAATGTTGGGAACACGTGAGCGCACTGACCTGGTGAGCTTGTCTGTGCAGGACATGGTGATGAGATGTTCACCCTGAAGGACACCGTCCCAGGTCTGGGCGGGTCCCCGGCAACGCACCGGCACCGTCCCCTCGCCTGACTCGATTTTAGTCCGCAGGTGACTCCGATGCTTCCTCATTAAGTGTCTGCTGCTGTGCACTGAAAGAATAATGCGCACGATCGCAGTTTTACTACTTTACAAAATCATTTCTTACTACACAACACCAGCCAGCGTCATGCAGTCTGCCAGTACTGAAGTCGCAGATCTCATCTCTCAGCAGTCAAGAGGGTTTTCCAATATGTCTTTAAATACATTACATGCAAATATACAGCACGTCTTAAGTAGGAGTTGAATTGTTTGCATGAGTTGCAAAGCTCTCAGCTGTTACAATCTGTGTGTATGAAGCTGTGTACTTTCAAAAGGTATAACAGAAAAAGCAGATAAACAAGAAAACATTACTGATATGCAAGTTTAAAGTTTGGAGTAGGGAATTAAACGTATTAGTTTGCAACTGCCTGCTTCCTTACTGCTAATGAAGCAAACACGTGACTGGACTGTTTATGAATGCGTGGGCTGTGATTTTTGGGAGGGAGGAGGTAGCCTTCTCCCTGGAGCGATGCCCTTTTGAAAGTTTCTATTTTATTTTATTCAAACTGACAGAGAAATCCTTGCTTTATTGACACTGTTAGCAAGAGCGCAAGTTCCTTGATCCATTTAAGACAATTTCACCTAGTTTAGCGTGGGCGTGCAGTCTAGCATGACCTCCACAGGTGCTGACAGTGGTAGTTAAAGTCAAATGTTTCTTACTGTTTGGATCATGCCTGAGTGCAGTTTGCATGTTCTCCCCGTACCGCTGTAGCTCTCGCTGCGTGTCATCCCTGTGACACTCTATAGCAATATATACGCCTTCGTTGCACTCTGACCAAATGTACATATGCAATCGCTGTTTTGGTTTCCTTTCTTGAACTTTAAACCCCACAGTGACACGCTCTTCCTTTTCCTCTCTCCTCCTCGGCTGATCTGACAGCAGCTAAAACTTAAGCGCCGACTTCTAACTCAGAAATGTTTAAGAACTGTCAGGAAAAGGTGCTCGGTAATTTTGTAATCTGTGAGAGCGCACAGAATTACATTTAAAAGGTTTAATGCCTAAAAAGTATAAAAGCTCTCTCTAATGACAGCCTTTCTCCTTCTTTCTTTCCGTCAGTGCTGGTTTCATGAAAATTTCACTGCGCTGTAGCATGTACTCGCAGAGCTTAAAAAAGCAGCGTCAGTCAGCGAAGGACCAGATTACATTTCTGAACTCGTAGGCCACCAGAAAACTGCTGGGCAAACCATCTAAATGAATATACAATTTATATTCAGTAGGTAAGCAATAAAATGTCATCTAGTCAGCACAGTGCAACTGAAAAGAGGCCAAAGACAGAATGTGACATGAAAAGGATGGCAGCTTCTTGTGAAATAATACAAGGAGAGCGGTGGCTTTCAGAAAGTCTGCCAGAGAAAATGATCTCTTTATAACGTAAGACACTGTCTGAGAAACTGAGAGAATGGCAGCAGTAAAATGGATTATATGTGTATTAAAATAGCTGCATTTTATTCATTGAATGATGTCGACTTTATGGAAAACAAGGAAACAGAAAGGGAGGGTTTCTTACGGTCAGCGGTGATTTCGTATGGAGAGTTGAGCCTCCCGTCTCCACACGGCGAGGTGCTGATGTACATGTGGAAATGGATGTTGTCTCTCAACCTGTAGCCGCACTCTTTGTGGTGCACAAATATCGACTCCTCCCAGTCCTCCGGCCTTTTACTTTGGCAGCATAAAAGGGAAAAGACAACAAGAAGGAGGGAGATTGATGAGAAGGGTAGAAGCATTTATCACAGCAAAGGACACAGATCTGCACTTTTCTTTTCCAATGATGAAGTGAGTTGACATGGACAGAGATGGACACTGGCCCTCTCTCTGACCACAGACAATTCTCCTCTGTCAGACGGAGTCCTGGACATTACTCTTGCTGCCCATAATAGTCAGAGCAAACAGGGGAATGAGTTTAACCTGTTGGCAAGTACACACCTTTGAGTCACGACACTGCCATTATGAAGGCCAAACGAAGTAAATATCATTTCATATAAAACAAATGTACAGAAAATGAAAAAAAGTGCAGCATGGGTTTGAGTCCATTAACAGGAAGTTGTTAGATAGGCACTGATTATATGTACTCAGACAAAATTCAACCGTGTAACGTGAAAAACACGAGTGGGCTAAAAAAGATAGACGAACTAAGAGATCCCAGGAGTGGAGCCCACAAAGCGAACTGCAAAACTGTGTTCAGCAGCAGCAGCAGCTCAACGTGGCCACAGCAGCCACTGTGGACCGCTATATTTGGGGAATTATACAACAAACATCCATTGACTGGAGCTTTCCTTATCACGTGACTTTAGCACTTCCTGTTTCAAATCACAAAATTAGTTGCTCTGTGTAATATGTCCTAACTGTCCCAGGTATCTGGTGGACTGTTTGGCTAACATTAGTAGAAGTCGTGTATAGCTAACAAGCTATGATCATAACCAATTCTGATTGTGAAAGGTTGATGTGTAGTCCATATGTTCTAGTGTCTGCACTCTATGCTTCAGTAGCTTGTAGGACCACCTTCAGCACCAATAACTTGCAGTAATGATAATCAGAGTTTAGCAGATCCTCACATTACTGTGCAGGAATTTCTGCCAGTTCTTCTTTACACTTTATTTACACTGTTGCTTCAGTTTATTGAGGTTTGTTCTCTTAAGTTTGTCATACACATATTCAAAAATTTAAGTCTTTTGTTTTTCAGCTATTCTGTTGTAGATTTGCTGGTTTGCGTGAGGTCGTTATCGTGTATGGCATCGATTTCAGCCAAGCTGTAGTTGCTGGACAGACAGCCTCACATTTGTCTCATGTGAATACAACTGAATACTCTGGCATAGAGAAGAGTTTATGGCCATCTTAATCAGCGGTCCCCAACCCCCAGGCCATGGACCGGCGGCGGTCCGTGAGTCGTTTGGTACCAGGCCGCAAGAGTTGAGGCTCGGGTGTGAAATTTATGGTTTTATGGTTTCCCGGGGTCTTTTCCCGTGTTGTAGTTGTGTGTTTTACAGTCATGTGAGAAAATTAGGACACCCCATTAAATAATCGGCTCTTTATTAAGAAATGTTCACATATCAATGTCTAATCATGTTTTCATGTGTTACTGGAAAAGAAAGTGACTTAATTGCAATTAAACAACAAAAATAAAAAAAATTACACATAAAAAAAAAGATATGAACAAAAATGTGTATTTTAATGAGGAAAAAGTTAGGACACCCTACCCCCTAATAACCAGTGTTGCCCCCTTTGGCTGATATAACTTCAGTGAGACACCTTTTGTAGCCTTTTAGTCTCTGACATCAGAAGCAAGTTTGGGCCACTCCTCAATGCAGAATTCATTCAGCTGTGAGAAGTTTGAGGGTTTTCTTGCATGTACAGTCTGTTTCAAGTCACCCCACAGCATCTCAATGGGATTAAGATCAGGGCTTTGACCATTCCAGGACTCTCTACTTAGTTTTTAGCCAGTTCTTGGTGGATTTGCTGGTATACTTTGGGTCATTGTCATGTTGCAGTGTCCAGTTCCGCTTCAGCTTTAATTTTTTAACAGATGGTTTCACATGTTCTTCAAGCACCCCCCAATACACAGTTGGATTCATGATGGATTCTATGATGGTGAGCTGCAGGTGCTGCTGCAGCAAAGCATCCCCAAACTAGGATACTGCCACCTCCATGCTTCACAGTTGGTACAAGGTTCTTTGCTTGGAAGGCTGTATTTGGTTATGCCAAACATGTCTACTGCTCTGGTGCCCAAATAATTCAGTTTTAGATTCATCCGTCCAAAGAACATTATTCCAGAAGTCGTGGTCTTGCCTTAATGCAAAGGTTTCCTCC